AATTTCGAAAAAACTCAATATGAAACAAATCTGTTTGGACTCAACCCCTTAAACAATAAAATAAAGTTTTAGAGAGTATAGATTTAATGTATTGCTAAACATAAAATGCAAACTTTAATGCTGATAAAATAGTAATTTGTAGTGAACAAGGAAGCATTCATACACTAGTAAACATAAAATGATAGATAATCCAACACAACTGGATTGAAGACATTTAGATAAGTAAAAATAGATTAAAGTAATAAGAGCATATTTGAATTTATAAACTGATAAAAAAGATAAAGAATTGATGGATTATTAAAACAACTTAATGTATCTACGTATTTGTCATAGATGATGGACAAACTATTAGTGTTTGTGTTGAACAATATTTGCCATACATGATAGAGAGTGAATAATTAATATGGTGTATACATGTATGTTTTAAATTTATATTCTGATATAACATGTTAAAGCATACTGTATCATTGGAATATATACTTGTCTATTATTTATGAAAATTGAACTAAAAATTAAGTATAGCCATTAAACTGAGAGTAGGTCATGTGCATTTTAGAATGAAGTAAATACAGGGTGACCGGAAAAAAAGGAGACCATTGAAATAGGCAATATCTCCTAAAATAGACTAGTGACATCAATGAAAGTTTGCATACATCAGGACAGTTCTATGGAAATTTGTTCCTGAAAGTGTCAATACAAGCAGTCAACTGGTTCAGGAGCTATGATCATTTACATAACATGCTCCAAATAGGCACAATTGAGACCAACGCAGAGCTGGATACATTTGGCAAATACCCTTACATATTCCGACCTTGTTATGGCATTACATTTAGCATTTATTGCCACCTTTAGGTCAGCAATTGTCTCAGGATTGTTTTGGTACACATTGTCTTTCAAATTGCCCCACAAAAAGAAATCAGGTGGATTCAAATTTGAGGTGTATGGAGACGAAGCTTATCTGACCTATGGCTTCTGACTCAGTGGTCCCACTCAGTTACAGTATCATCCTAAGGAGGTTTTGGGCAGCCCTTGGTTTTCATATGGGATTTAATTGTGCCATATAGTGGTTTTAGTAACATGGCACTATGCCCAATACCTAAAGTGACTCTTAAGATTTGGTAAATCAGCACTTTGGCAACAGGATGATGAACCACATGTCAGATAACCCTTCATTGCCATTACAGCCTAGACTTGAATCCTGCTGATTTCTTTTTGTATGGATATTTGAAAGACAATCTATACCAAAACAATCCTCAGACTATTGTTGACCTAAAGAAGGCAATCACTGCTATATGTAATGCCATAATAATGCCATAGAGGGCAGAACATGTAAGGGTAGTTTGCCATATGAATCCAACTCTGCGTTGGTCTCAATTGTGCCTATTTGGAGCATGTTATGTAAATGATCATAGCTCCTGAACCAGTTGAATGCTTGTATTGAAACCTTCAGTAACAAATTTCCATATAACTGTTCCAGTGTATGCAAAATTTCATTGATGGCACTTGTCTAGTTTAGGAGAAATTGATTACTTCAATGGTCTCCTTTTTTTCCGGTCACCCTGTACTTGTTCTATATACACTTATAACTGATTTTGCAACCTTTTGCTCAGCATGTTTGAAATTGATTCATAAAAACGTCCATCTCATCTGATCAGATGTTAATCCATTTTTCATGCATTTGTGGTGTCTATGTTTGTAGACTTGCTAACAGGATCATGTAACATGGTGCTGTTATGTGTCAATGTGCCAAGAGGAGGCAAGCGTCATCTATAGATTTCATCAATGTATTTCTCTCTACATTCATTCCTTGACAGTTATAAACTCTGTGTTATTGAAAACAATGGCAAATCATCTTATTTGAAGGTCTTGTGATTGCATTGATTGCCTGTTTGTTTTTGTTGATGATATCACTTCAACTTAATTAACTTAACAAGTTTACAATGATTAACTTTGATATCGGTCTCATTGCAAACATTTATTTTTGATTGTTTGTTTTCATTTGTTTTGGTTTGATTCATTAAAATCAGAGAATAATTACACTTGAATGACGACATGCATGTCGTTGTGATAAGAAAGGTTTTTAAAATAAAACATTTAATATTGCATCAATTGAGGTGCATAAACTTTTTGTTTGTTTAACCCCTTGAGAGAGAGAGCATTTTTGCTTGTTTTTGCCATTTTACTCTCTTATACATGTAATATGTAATATTTAATGTTCATTTTGATGATATTAAGCAAAGTTATCATAATTATCAGTTGAGAAATTCTGTGATTGATAAACATTTTGATACAATTCTGCATTAAATGTGTAAATGTGGGTTAAAATGAGATAATTGAGTACAATCTATAGTTTTACATAGCATGGCTTGAAGAAAGGATGCCAATCTAACAGACAGGATGAGACCATCCTTTACTCAGATAAAGTTTCACTTTATTATTTTGAGAAATAAACAGACTTGTGAGAAAGGATGTCACATGTGGGAAACAGGCATCTGATAAAAAAGCAATCTCACTGATAAGTTTATTCAATACCAAATTCAAGCTAGGCATATGCTAATAATTTCATAATATTAAACACTAAAAGGTAAAATGTTCCTGAGTTTTCAAAGATATGCTCTGAGTTTTAAAGATGAGCAGAGTATAACTAGAATATGTAGTGACATTTCATGTTAGGGAAATCACATTTGTACAACTTACAAACAAGTAGAAACATCTGTTTTTGCTTTAATAATCACATCTGTTCATAGAGAAACATTTCAAATGGTTAATAACATACTTCAAGTTTTACGTAGCTCTTTATTCTTGTTAACCTTATCAATATTTTTATAGAATTTAGAATGTGAGACCCATTGGGATATTGTTTGGTTAGATCCCCTGAAAAACTACTGAAGAAGGAATAACGAAACATGTTTAGTTTTTCATAAATATATTTTATTAGTTCTTTGATTCTTACTTTATTATATGTATATTTCTCTATATATCTGCTTTGTCATAGATATTGACTTTTTTCATGTTGTCCATTGGTTCCTACTATCTGATTCCATATTTAATTTGTTAGCATTAAAACTCATTTCATTGTGTTCCTTTATGTTTTATAAATACTGTAGTGTTAATAAATGGATGCAATAAAATATAGATTGGATCAAGTGGATTGGTTTCATGTAAATTGTGGATTGGGTTAGATTAGATCAGGGATTTAAAACATGGCATTTCTGAAATGGAATACAAAGATATCACTGGTGATCCACTTGATTACGCTGGTTACCGAAACGGTTCGTTTCGCCAACAAAATGTCAGAACATCGAAGGTACAATTTTTCTTTTTTCCTTATTTCACATGTTGTAGGCAGAATTCCCACTTGGTAAAATGTTGAAACAAAACTATAAAACTCCAGAGTTGAGCATTTCATTCATTATGGAGTATTTTGAGATAATTTTAGTTTAGTATGATGTGGGAATCCCCCACTGATAGATATTTTTCAGGAGGATGCATCGAATTACAAAATGTGTCACATTTACAGCAGTTTAGTGTCAATTACTCTATTATCACTCTTAAATATCTTCAGATTTTTTCTGATATATTTGTTTATACTTGGTCATTCCTCGATATTTCTGGAACTTTGTGAAGCGGGGTAGGCGCTTATTAGTGGTAGGCCCTTAATACGATGATTATAGGATATGAGCCTGGCCATAGGAAAACCGGTCTTATCACAAAAATTAAAATTGTTATACAGAGCCAAAATTGTGCCCAAGATTAAGAGGGAAATGTACTTAATTCAAATCCGACATTTTGGTCTATATATGCAAGGAAAAATTGTTAAAACATAAGTCATGGCTCATTTGAAAGGTCGCTTTGTGCTTTTTAAGATAAACAAAAAATAAGAATATTGAAAAAATCTGTGATAAGACCCTTTTTCCTGTGGCCTGGCTCATATATAATATAATATCCTTTCTAACAAGCAAAACCATCACCAAAGATCATCCTTTATCCCATGGGTGCAAGGATATAGATCGAATATCACACAAAGATATATTTGATATGTGGATCGAGATATCATATTTTAGCAAAAAATTCACAAACCATCGAATATCACTTTTAAACTATCGAATATCACGTGATATTCGATGGTTTGAAAAGTGATATTTGATGGTTTGAAAAGTGATATTCGATGGTTTCGAATTTTTTCAAAATAAATTTTTTTTACATTTTTTGATTATTTTCCAAAAATATTTTTTCAAAATTTCAACATTTTTTCACAATTTTTTTCAATTATTTTTTCAAATTGTTTCTCAAATATTTTTTTTCAACTTATTTCGCTGATGATGATTTCCCATGGGATAAAGGGACAATCCTATAGTTTTTCAAAAATATCATTTATATCCACTCATGGATACAAATATCTTCACTCATTCGCTGCGCTCACTCATGAAGATATCAATATCCACTCATGGATATAAATGATATTTTTTTCAAAACCATAGGATATTCCTATATTATGCTGAAGATACATATTTCATAGGAGGGCCACACTAATAGTGTCTTTTGTTTTTGGTTTATCTTGCTATTTATTGCTTTCATTGCAAGATGTTACTGTTTAAGAAGAGCCCATGAGAAGAAATATAGAAGTATAGATTTATTTTCACATACAAATGAACGACTTGTTTGCATCTTTGTTCAGCATAATACTTTTTAACTCAAGCTTTTATATAAAATTATGAAAATTCTATATTTTTAAGATTTTTGATCCAATCAACCTTTTACATGTAACCAACCCAATCCACTTTGTCCAAACCATATTTTAATCCTCACCATTTAATTAGGTTTTTAAATAGTTTATGATGGTCAGTCATGTAATAAAAAAAATTATGACATGAACATCATCAATTTGAAGGATAATTTTCTCAGTTCAGCATACTTCATATTGGATAACTGGACTAACATACTTCTAAAAGAACAATTTAAAGAGTTTAAAAGCCCAAGTTTTCCCAGCCTGACATTTAGAAAGCCTTTTAAACATGAATAGTATCTGTGGCACAGATAAGACGTGGCACAAATAAGACACATTGTGGTTAGTCTATTGTAAAGACTCAATGACAGTATGCAAATGAAAACACTGCCAGAAGAGGACACTAAAATCTTTGGATGGTTACCAGACCAAAAATGTAGAATTTCAGTGGTTTGCTTTAATCTAATTAAGTGAGAAGTAAAAAGACAGTTAGTGACAATTAGTGGTGTATCAAGTTGCCTATTAGCTGACCAGACACCCATACTTTCACAAACTGGATTATAAGAATTAGGAACATTTGATTGGATCAAGGTTCTAACACTATATAGACTGGATAGTTTGACAGTTCTTCAGTCTTGGAGATTCTATTCATAAGTTCAGTGTATTAAGTGACAGAAAGGAACAGTGGGAACCCCAACTGAGTTTGGAAGTTTGATAAGAGCTACACCAACAGTAGATGAGCATTTGTGATTGTTGAATCAAATGACAGCTGAGTAACCAAAGAAGCAAACAACATTCAGATATGAGAATTCAGTGGACAATGGTGGACAGAGGATCATAGTGTGTGTGTGTTTGGGCACATAGTATCTCACTGAATCTATAAAAATCAGAATATATCTCATCACAAAACATCATATGGTGAACAAAAATTGTTCTTGTGTATCACATAACAAAAGACTTTAGAGAAGACATCCATCATCAACATTTTTCAAAAGCAGGAAGTTCAATTATATCTGGAGAATTTAGATACATATGATGTCATTTCACAAAACTAAAAGCAGAAGAGGATGAATTTATGAAATATATATCCTGATAGATTTCACCTGATTTCAACATGGATTTATCATGCTTGTTTGTCAACTTCTATGGATATAAACTTCAGAGGAGTTGCTGTAATGGAAAATATAGTTGTGGGATGAGAGCATATAAAGTTGGTAAGTGATGAGATGGATGAGGAATTTATCTCGTGCAATGTTTTATTTTAGGCATACATGAATCTCTTGCATCGTAACAGCCAATATTATGTTGCAGTTACTAAAGTGTTTATTTCCCTACAAAAGGACATCAAGAGACAGCCTAGACTTTTTCCAGGAAGAAGCTGTCATCTCCTGACGCAAGTTCCTGCTTGCGCTTTTATGTAGGAGAGCCCTAATTGAGTGAAAGAATCAACAATATTGGTCTAACCATCTTCATCGGGAAAGTCTCTCGGTCTCAATTGAGGTTATACTGTATTTTTGTCAATGATTACCTCTGATAAACTGTGACTCAAAATGTCTTACATTGATTAAATAGATTTCCCATTATTTTGGTTTCATATGATAGTGCTACATACGGGTGTCTACTTCTTAATATTTAATGTTGTGAATCAGTAAAGTCCATAGTAAAGTAACCCAGGTTAATATCTAAAGGGTATAAACTCTATGTCCACCTTTCAGCCCCTAAGTGTTGGTAGTGAAAGTTCAAGTCTGGGGTGATATTTAGGCCTGATCGTTAAACTTAAATAAGAACTTATGTTTCAAAATAAACCTCATTTTATACCACTTCTAATTTCTTTATTCTTGTATGAAAGGTGAATTTGTGCATTGAAGGATCACTCCTGAGAAAGTTTAAATTCTAAGAATCAAATAACACTTTGGCATATTAGATTTTCACGTGATGTTCAAATGTAGAAAATACCAGGAATTGATAAGCATTAACCAATACTAGATATTAATACATACAGTGCAAACAAGTTTTAAAAAATTAATATCTATTTTAGAAACTAGGGTTCATTTAACATTTGCAACATACATTTTGACCCTTCTGCCAAGGGCCACATAAACAAAGGGTTCTCTGCTACCTGTTGATGGGTCAATGGGTCGTGGTTTATGGGTCATAAAATCTCTATGGTTATCATGACCCATATTTATATGAGGTTATGAAGTTAAAATGATACACAAACTGGTACACAAACTGGTATATGTTAACTTTTTTCTAGTTCCAATAGGATGAAATAATGCACAGACTGTTAGTAAATAAATCTTTACAAATCTCAATTATGTTTTTGTCCAAAAAATATACCAACAATTAAATTTTGTATTGTCACCTTTACATGAATACATGAAGTTTCTTGAATTATACATGTATTTGAAAGTAATCTGTTAACTGCAATCAACTGTTGTGGATTTCAGAGACTGATTGTGAAGCTAGAATTGAAGGTGTATTATGTCATATCAAATCAAAAATGTTCTTGAATACATAATGAAGTAATTCAGATGTGATTAGGTAGCTACCAGTTTCACCACCAGGTAGCTCATTTGGGTGAGATACTAGCATGGTGTGTAGAGTAACTTAAATATTCATCTGTTTTAGTGGTTTAATTTTCATACCAACCTTAGATATCTAATGGCTCCAATGGTTTTGCAAATTGACACTTACAATTACATAAAGTTTGCATCTTTTTCAAATCTGATGCAATAATCTTTTTTTATTCATATATTCTTAACTTTTTTTGACTTAATATTATTACTATTAATCTTCTTTATTATTATTATATTTTTATTAGAAGCATACGACATATACTCTTCATATTCTCCTTCATCCATATATTCATCCAATCATTCATTTGTTCACTCACTTAATCGCTCGCTCATTTCAATCATTTACTCATTTAATCAACATCATTATTCAAGACATTTTATTATAGAAGTTAGACCAAACTTGATTTTTATTCATATTTTTAGTTTCTACATATAATCTGAAGTGCTCAGTAAACTGATAATATGATGGCTCTAAGTTTTCAAGAAAATTGGTATGTATAAAGTATGTTTCATTATTAATAAAGATGCATTATGCAGTGCAATATGTGCAGTAAAAGAAAATGTTATCTGTCTCATACAAGAAAAGATATTTCCCTTTTTATGATTTTATAACATGGGCTCTATTGGGAATCTAGAAGTCAATTTTAAAAGAAAAAAAAATTTCAAAGTTGATAAACAATTTTCGAAACCACATTTCTAAGATGTACATTTACATGTAGATTTCAAAAATGACATCACTTTGACTGAATTTTGAATATTTAATGACGTAAATCAATATTATTTCTACTCGCATCTAGTCTTTTACAAGCAATATTTAGGATTTCTAAACCAGGTGTCATTTTCCATTCCAAAAGTAGTATTAAAAAAGATTCATGATCATGTCATGTTAAATAATATATGTTCTTGCAAACAAAGGTATCATCAATACATGTTTCTAATAAGATCAAAGTAAAATCATTAATTTGTGACCACACACTAATTTCCTTATTTGATTTTCTATCAAGCTACAGACAGGCCCAGAATAATAAATATATGATAAAGCAAAATAACATGTTACTCATTACTAAGATATTTGGTGACTTTACACAGTGATCCCAAACTGTGATTTGTAATATTTAATTCCAATATTCAAGTTGAAATGAGCTGTAGACAGTAGATGGGTCAATCCAGATTAAACTCTGCTGACACTGACTGGATTACTGTCTGATTGATGTGATAGTATCACGCTTCTATATTACATATATGCTTTCATTACATCACATTTCAATATGCCTTTCTTCTGTTTGTTTTATGGTTTCTTAATGAGTAACATGTTATTTGTTTTATCATGTGTTTATTATTCTGGGCCTCTCTGTCATGTCTGTAGTTTGATTGAAAATCAGATTAGAAAATTTGTGTTAGTTTGGTCAAAAAACTGAGTGACATGTTAATAGCAATACCCTAATATTGTTGTCCCTTTCTCCCAAAGTGCAAGTTCAACACACGGCAAGCTCCCTCCCTAGAAACACATTCAGCAATAACTGAGTAAGGATTGATATGATTCACCCAGATGTTTAAATTGCTAAGCACATGGCATGCACAAGGAAGTGTGTAATCCTATTACTGCAGGAGTGTGAGACTCACTGTGTTGTCGTTATTAGATATAGCTCCCCTCTTGATCTATCAAGGTATTTCATATGACTGAAAGAATACACTGTATGCCAACACATTCTCTCAGTGAAGCTTTCACTACAAAATAGACATAATAACCAAAACTGATCAGAAAGTATGCACATCTTCAACTCCCAAAGCATCACAAGCACTGGTGATCCACTTGATTACGCTGGTTACCGAACTGTTTCGGTAGCAAAATGTCGGAACATTGAATGTATGATTTTTCTTTTTTCCTTGTTTCACACGTTGTAGGTAGAATTCCCACGACATTTTTATCACAGACGTGTATCAGTATCATATGTTTAAGAAAGTGTACATATTTGCGAACAAATATTTCAGAAGACAACAGAATCGTCGATTTAATTCCTCACTTAAGTTACATAAACAGTATTTTGAAAAACAGTTAAGATCTGCACTTTTAATCTATACCGTTTATGAGGAAAAATGTCCTTGGGATTCTGCCTACAACGCGTGAAATAAGGAAAAAAGAAAAATTGTACCTTCGACATTCCAACATTTTGTTACCGAAACGGTTCAACCAGCGTAATCTAGTGGATCACCAGTGACAAGGAAAATCTGATAGATCCAGTTGAAAGACAAAGCTATTGTCATTCTAGAAGTCATGTAACAGAGTGTGGGGAAGATCAGTTCAAAATGGCCACTTTTATTCAGAAAAATGTAATCTTTGATCACTAGTTTACAGATTGATCCAAATTTTATGGACATCTGATCATGGCTAATGATTTCAAAATGGTCACCTTTTATGAGAAAAATGTTGTTAATATCAATACAATACTGCTGGGATTTGGTCAATTATTGTCATGCATGTAGATTATTCCAAATGAAGACAACATTACTGCCTCGTTATTTCTTGTTTAATATGACAAGTAATTTGATAAATATGTTTTGTTCAGTAGGATTTGTTACTCTGAGAGGTTGCTATAAAAAGGAATGCATATGGCCTCTAAGCAGATTGACTTTAATTATGACAGTGACCTATATATATAAATATCTTTTATTGACTCTCTGATGTCATTAGATGATGATGAAGCAGTGTAAAAGAGTAATTTATAATGTGAAAATAATTGCTCTTACTTAGCCTCTAGTCAGTTACAGATCGTGATCTGATCGATGTTCCTCAAAAAATAATATATGCAAATATAAATTTTATTATGAGTTATCAACATTAATTACTCTATTCGGAATGTTGTAATTTGATGACTAGATATACACAGGTTTATCACATGATAACCACCACATACAGTATATACTGCACCATTATCATGATATGAATGATTCATTTAAATTACTGTAGATCACTGGATGAGTATGGTACCTTATGGGACAACCCCCATAAACCGAAGATTTTGGTCAATATTCTAGTTACCTGTATTTGCCACCTGAAATAACATTTTGCTCCAATCACTAACCCTACTATCACACCAAACTAGTTCTCACTACGTTCTCGAAAACGGGCTTAAACTGTGCACGAACAGATTTGACGTACTAAGAACCCACTAAGAACCCACTAAGAACCATTTAGGATCTGTTTACAAAGTTCATGAAACTACTAGAACGAGTAGGTCCTCCAGAACTTAGAGCATGCTCAAAATTGATGATCGTCAAAACGTTGCCGAATCAGTTTTAAACTGTGTGCGAACTGAATGAACGTAGCTTCAACGTTCTACGATCTGTTTACGAACTTCATGGACTTTCCCGGACGGGGAATGTGATTTAGATTTTTGAATCGATTCAAAATTCGATGGCGACCATACCGTTCTGAAATCAGGTCATAATGACCTTCTAGACTAAGGGACGGTTTATACTACGTTGCACACCGACGTGGTGCGACCTGAACGAACTGCGAATGAGATGGACGTATTGAAGACTGTTTATGAACGAAGTAGCTAATTATTTTAGACATATATCCCGACCGCAGCCAGATTGAGCCCGTTTTACGACATTTTCGTAGGACTGGCAAGAACGGGTAAGAACTAGTTTGGTGTGTTAGGGGGTTAGAAGCCAAAGTTTTCTCCCTCAAACCTAAGATGAGTTAGTATTTCAAATCACTTTCATGTGTATAACTCATAGAATCAATGAAAAACTTACAGTATCTCTTTTCCCCCAAAATTGTCTTCATTATACTACTGATAGTGATAAACAACCTCAATACTGATAGGTTGATACAGCTCACCTAAGTCGCTCATTAGCTCACATCTGATTGATCCTAAGGTCAGCATGTTCCTGTTATGAAGATTGTATGAAATGCAAATACAACATACACTCTTATCGCAATGTAATGTGGCGGCTGTTACAAGTTAACTAATAAAGTTAAGCATTTTTTATCTCATTAAAGGGTTACAATAAGCTTCCCATATAAAAACAACATAGCAGATCAAGGTGTGTGTAATGGATCAGTCTATTTTGAATAAATTAGGAGAGTTTTGTAAATTCCAGTTTATTGAAATTGTCTTGAAGATAGAATATTTCGTCAATAAGTTTACAATGATTCAATAAAGTTTGAGAAAGTGAATTATCCAAAGGATGCATAAGCATCAGCCAATATAAATCCTCATGCAAATCAAAACTACCTTGTTTCATTTACAGTACATTCCATGCGTTGTGCTAATACCACGCCCGGTGATCGTACAAAATGGATGGAGGGGGGAGTAGGCGATTTCTGCAAGAAAACTCAACAAATTTGGAACATTTATTTTTTCAAGAGAAAATTTACTGAATTGCCAAATGAATAGGTGCAGTGCATGGCAAAATATGTTAGGATTTTATTTTTTTTGAACTGATACTAGTGTATACGCTTCTAAGATATGAGATCTATTACAAAAGGCACATCATCACCAGCGTGCAAAAGTCAATGTTTTTGCTATAAATCAGGCAACAATGGTCTACACGACCTGTAATAAATAGGCATAGGGGGCGTTTTTATCACAACACTAATGACATTGCTCACTTTTTAAAGTTAGTTTCCATGCGTTATACAAAAATATAATCGAAATACATTAATATTGGATAGAGGGGGGAGTTATATACTAAACGGTGAGCAACACCACAAACAAGCTTTCGATTTGTTAAACAATATGCGTTACCCTTTAAGCTATTTAGATAGAATTAGGGCAGGGTTGTAGAGAAAATGTAAGATAGAGTTGTAAGATCACATTTATATAAGCATCACTTCTTATGCAGGAAATAAATATGTACTTTTAATGGGTATGTTCACAGTTATCTTTTTTCAAGGCCTCTTGTCTGCTTTCATATTAGTATTTAATGGTAATATCCTGTCATGTCCAGATTATTAGTCCTGTAACATCTCTACTCAGGAAATAGTTAGGTCAGGGGGTGATCTGGTCTGATCATGTAGCTCTGTTATAAGATAAGTTGTAGAAGTCTCAGGTTCAACTCCCCGCTTAGACCTAATTATTATTTAATACCTAATTATGTATGGAAAATGAAATGATACTAGATAAATGATCGAAATTTGTATATTAATATATAAATTTGATTGACATATTACATTGTGAAATGCTGTGATGTGCTTGAAAGTTGGTGTAACAAATTATTGTTTTAACTAAGTTGTAAACTTGATGTATTTTCAGAGAAGTCACTCCAGCATTCCAAGACTCCTGGCTTGAAGCGTCTTCTGGTGGAGGACAACATCAACATAGACCATGCCGTAGAGGAAATACTTCTCATTAAGTCTGTCAGTCCAGAGGTTTACCCTCAGTAAGTGAAACATACATACATGTAACTGGGCATTTTCAAAGTGATATCTGAATAGATCTGTGATATCTGATCAAATACATCTACTTCATCCCTATCCTTTACCTCCTTATGTTTTCCTTACCCATAATCATACATATATTGTTTCAGATTTGGACATGCTTTGAAGACATGTCTGTGCCAAATATGTGGATACCGCCAACTTATCCAGCAGCTTGAGATAATCAGAAAGACAAAGTATTCATCAGAAAATCACCAGCATGAAGCTATGATAATGCAGGTATAGCAATAGTTTGTTGATACAATATTTATGATCTATTTAGAATACTTTAGATTTTAGCAATTTAAAAGACATCTATATAATTATCTCCATATTATAAATTCTCAAATACGAGTACATGTAAGGTGGCCATTTTGGATTTTCTGAAACATGAATCAGAAAAATAATACATTAGTTGTGATCTTCTCTAAGATACCTTTGATTCAAGAATAATATAGCCATACTTATAAAAAACCTTCGAACAAAGTTCGAGAGATATGTAGAGAACCAATTCATCCGTCAATTCGTTTATCTGGGAAATAACTCAAATATCAGATTGGGTTCAAACGTAATGAGCTAATGGCTTCTGGGGATAGGACCTCTACTCGAGAAGGAATTTTTAATATAGTTGATCAATTAAAAATGGCCTCCATTTTTCATGAAAAATATCTCAAACACTAGTGATCAGATTTAGTTCAAGTTTTATTTGCTAATGCAAATAAATTTTCAAGATGGCCACATAATTCCAAATGTACACTTCCAAAATTTCAAACAGTATCCCTCATTTCTTTACTTAATTAATTTTTTCGATTTTAGCAATACATTTTTGCCATTTTCAAAGCAGCTGTCACTTGAAATCAACTTTTGCATAAACTTTTTACCAATATACATCTTTCTATAGGATATGAAGAAAATCTGTCCACTCTTATTTGAGTCATTTTCTGGACAGACAGACCAATGAACTGACTAACTAACTGATGAATGGAGGGCTTCACTATATCCCTATCAAAGTTTGTTGGAATAATTAACAGATTGATCATGTTGATTTGTAAACCCAAATGAACAAAGTGAATGGGGAGTTTTACTGGTTGTATGACACAGTCAAAAAGGGTTCATTCATAAAAACACACCCTAACATCATGATTCTTTAAGAAGAGTGATACTGGTTCGTTTCATGTCATATTCATTCTTGAAAGTTGACACTGTACTGAGTGATATGTTTTCTGTTCTAGCTGTGGGAAACATTAATGCCAAATGAACCCTTAGAGTCAAGAATCTCAAAACAATGGCAGGAAATTGGTTTCCAAGGAGATGACCCCAAAACAGATTTCAGAGGCATGGGACTCCTTGGACTACAGAACTTGGTGTAAGTACATAGCATGGACATTCATATTCTAGATGCAAAACATTTCAGATGAGTTAGTTTTTATGTCCAATAAGCCTGTGGCCTCGTGATCCTTTAAATTGTTTTTGTTTTAATCTTTTTAATCGATTCTCACACTTTCAAACATTGACAATTTCATCAAGAAATACTAATGAGGTAGGTACATTTCGGCCATTTACCTTGGTAATGGGTGATAATAAAAATACGACCTAGCCCGTGCGACAAGTAACGTTCCCGCACATTGATTAAATGATTACACGTCAATTGACGCGATTGATTACACATGCGCAATTGAAAAAAATAGAACGTCAATTAACGTAGCAAACCGTCAATCAACTACAATGACGTTAATTGACGAGATAAACGTTAAATGACCTAATCGTCTCCACTGTACCAGATCCACGTTTCTGTCCAACTGAAGCTTGATATTGTATTTCTCTAACAAGTAGCAAAAGGCATGATTTTAGATTCTTTGTTCTGTATTTTAACTGATATTGGTTACATTTATTATTATTTTAATTAAGGATTTTTGTTTCAGATTTTTTGTGACACAGTTCACAGATACAGCACGCCAAGTCTTCTCTCACTCTCTTCATCCACAGATGGGGTAAGTGGTGATGTTAACTTCAATTGTTCACCTGGTCATTTTCTGCCCCCAATGGTCCTTTAAACATTTAAAATAGTCACAAAGTATTCTCAGAGATTATTTTCTATGAAAGATCAACAAAATTGATTTTTGGTAACTTTTGGAAATTTTTATGCAGTGGATTGAAGCTTAATGCTGTACAGATCTAAAATCTCACTGAAGTTTTGTTTTTAATGTGTTTATCAAATGTAGGCTAATCAATTAAAGTAATGCAAAACTCAATCAGACATATAACAAGATGATCTTGTTGATTTGCAGACTGTGATTTAGGAGGGTTAACATACACTCATGTTAATACTCATCTCAGCTGATTTGATTGCTATCAATACATGTATTGGTTTCTAGACAACTCATCCCAAGACAACTCATCCCAAAAACAACTCATCCCAAAGACAACTCATCCCAAGACAACTCATCCCAAAGACAACTCATCCCAATACAACTCATCCCAAGACATCTCATCCCAAGACAACTCATCCCAAAGACAACTCATCCCAAGACAACTCATCCCAAGACAACTCATCTGAAAGACAACTCATCCCAAGACAACTCATCCCAAGACATCTCATCCCAAGACAACTCATCCCAAAGACAACTCATCCCAAGACAACTCATCCCAAGACATCTCATCCCAAGACAACTCATCCCAAAGACAACTCATCCCAAGACAACTCATCCCAAAGACAACTCATCCCAAGACAACTCATCCCAAGACATCTCATCCCAAGACATCTCATCCCAAGACAACTCATCCCACTTGTATAATTGATAAATTATTTTGTCCTCTATATTATATACTATCTTTTTTTGGCTCACACAGTTAGCCTATGGGATTGACCAGTCGTCCGTCCGTCCGTTGGTCCGTCCGTCCGTCCGTCCATCCTTTGGTCCATCCGTCAACATTGCCCGCACAAATTAAAACTGCTATTCGGATTGAGTCATATCCACAATCATTTTATGCATATCCATAATGCCTATTTGACCTATCATCGCCATTTCCCAAGTTAGCCCGGTTTCCGAGAAATTGCTGATTTTGACGTCAAAAAGTCAAATTTTCTGTAAATACTAGACACTTTGTTGAAGTACAACTTTCAAATAACTTGTAGTAGTTGCTGTATATGCAACTTATGTCCTCTGAAGATTTCAAAGCTCTTGGAATTACAGTTTTTGGTGAATACTCTATAAAATTTGACTTATGTCATTTTCAGGAAACTTTCTTATGTATAAAGTCAGTGGCAGGTTTTGTGATTGACAAGTTTCTCAAAGTTTGCCTTATACTTGATCATTTCTTGCAATGAATTACATCATAACTAGATTTAAGCATTCCCTACATATTGCTCAATATATGTCAGCATCAAATTTTTACTGTTTTTGAGATATTTGACGTCAAAAAACAGTAAAAATAAGTTATTTTTCAACTTGCTTCAATTTGACCAAATTTTTTTTTGAAAATCATCTACAAGTTACCAGGAGTTCAAATCTGACATTTGTTTTAGGATTTGACCTTTACTTGACCTTCAGTGACCTTTGAAAAGTCAAAAAGTTTTTCAAATTGATATTTGGATGAAAATTTTGGTCAGCTTAATCACAAAAGACCTTACTGAGCTCTAAATAAGTAAAATTTTAAAGGTTAAAGGTCATCAAACAAGGTCACACAACTGTGCTAAGTTTCTCAAAGTTCGAGACTACAAATCCAAATCAATATTTTTGTTTGAAAGTCAGGATATACATTCCTGTGTGAGCACAGGACCGTGGGTCCTATTTTTCATTTTTACAATTACAAATTGATATTTAATTATACACTCAATTTTTAATATTCATTTGTAGCATTTCGAAATGGCACTGGAAAGTTATGTTTTACTGAGTATATTGATTATTTCTAGGTTATTTTCAATATATTTGAGAACATAGAATTGAAGATAAAACTTAAAGACATAATTTCCAAATTGAACCATCATAAATCTGAAAGTTTGAAATTGGAAATCTTATTTAGAATTAAGCCAAATATGATAAAACTCATAGACATAATTTCCAAATTGAATCATCATAAATTTGAAAGTTTGAAATTGGAAATCTTATTTAGAATTAAGCCAAATATGATAAAACTCATAGACATAATTTCCAAATTGAATCATCATAAATCTGAAAGTTTGAAATTGGAAATCTTATTTAGAATTAAGCCAAATATGACATATTGGAATTAAACAAAATATTTTAAAACAAAGACTGAATTAATCTGGAAGAATTATTCTGATAATACCCCAGATAATACATTCTTACTGAGTTCATCCTAATCTTTGATTTAATAATCAAAATATATATTAATTTGAACATGTTTATCTTTATCTCAATCAATCAACAAAAATTAACTAAAACTAACTACAAAATACAAAACTGTTAAGTAAATACAGCATGACAAAATATAAAATGTGTCAGTTTAAAATACAGAATGAAAAATGTATATGATATACTAGTAAAACAAAGAAAGTGCTAACTGCTAAAATCTCTAAATATTTCAAAAGTTGAAATTAATCGTATAAAATTATGTTATATTTCAAGTTGGGAAGAGTTGTCTTTGGGATGAGTTGTCTTGGGATGAGTTTTCTTGGGATGAGATGTCTTGGGAAGAGTTGTCTTGGGGATGAGTTGTCTTGGGATGAGATGGATGTCTTAGGGATGAGTTGTCCTGTTACCCATGTATTTCACACATGATACAGAATCAATGTGAATGTTTCAAAAGTAATGCTGATTGTTTTGCTGTCCTGTAGAGAATCTATTGCATTCATTATGTCATGCATGTATGTCTTCCTAATTGGTCTACATTACATATGCTCTATATTTCTGTTGTCTCAGGTATTCATTTGCAATAGTTGGAATCAATCTGTCACACATGACGTACCAGTTGATGCAATCTGGGGCCTTGAAGACTCATTTCTACAACCTTGTCCTAGGAAAGCCAAGAATTGAACATTTCCACCAAGTATACTGTAAGTAATTGATGTTGAATTGCAAAGACTGTTATACAGGGTTGGGTCTTGAAAGTCAAATAATCAATACAGGGGTGGCTTTTCTTTGAAATATGCAACAAAAGGAATAATGCAATAATGTAAGGGCAGATATTGAAATCTTTTACTGTAATGCAATGTAATGGTGGGTCTGTCAATCCAGAATAAATCTACAAAATTGTAACTATACTGTATGTACTTTCCCACTTGATCTACTTCAGAAATATAACCTTGAATTAAGAAATATAGACCAAAGAGCAGGGTTTCTAGTTTCGAAACTAGTAACCCTGCTCTGAGGTCTATATTACGATTCGAACATGAAAACTCACAAAATTGTTTCGAATATTCATCATGGTCCGCCATTACTATGACCCACCGTTATGACGTCACACATTACACGTATTAACTGGGTGATTGATCTCGAATATAACCCAGCTGAAGCATTGACTTTGTTTACAGTTTATAGAAGGCGTGAATACAGTCATGTTCGAATATTATTTATAACGGACTGTTTAAAATTGATGAATTCAAAATGGATATCAAATTATCATCACATATTTGAACTTCTGAACAATTTATTGTAGTTATTCTTATCTCATGATATACTGCAGCAATATACTATAAAGCCTACATAAACATAATCTAAATAGATATGTTATGAAGAAAACAGGAAGCAATTAATAACATGTTATCCATTATGAAACTAATCGATTCATTGTAAACAGTACTAAACATGTCAGCAGTCTAACGATGAACCGTGGCAGATTAATTTTCAATATACAGTATTAGCTTCTTTGAAAATATAATGAAGGAAAGATTGCAGATTGCAAACATTCACCATACCCTCTCACAATATTTAGTGGTAATAGAACAGCAGTTTTAAAATATGGCAGATTTTAGGGGAAAAACAATTGATTTTACTGTAGTAAAAATCTTACATTAGCTTACTATTAGAAAATAGTATGCCTGTACATTGGTTGTTGGTAGGCCTTTAGGATTACTAAAATTAATTTCCATGCTGCTTTAATAGAATTATTCCTTTTTTCCAGGTTATTTATTTTTTGAGTTTGATAAATTCTGGTTTTCGGAAAAACCAAGAGACATTATGGAGTTCAACAGAATTAAGGAAAAGTTCCAGCGTAAAATTTTGACACAACTGAAAAACAAATCAACAACTTTGCACAGTGGCTTTGTGCAGGAAAGCAGTGTGTGACAGAATGTTAACAGTTGACGGTGACAGAGACACTCAGTTAACTGTGGAACACCTTGTTGACTGTAATACAGTGTAAATATGTAAATAGTGGAGGTCCGTAAAATTTAGGAAACAGGCAGGAAACAAGCAATGACATTTAAAATTGAAACAATTGGTTAGACTGAGCATAATTGAATTATTAATTGTGTTTCTTGATCAATAAATGAATCACTATAAAGTATGTGATCTTATTGATTCACAATGTTTCAGTTGCTCACCTTATAACACGTATGTGATATATATAAGTGATTTTAAATGGATCATTAAGACAAGTTCATTCAACCATACAGGATGTCTGACTGGAGCTGGCATTTTACAATGTTTTAAGTCTGCACTTATCATGTTCAAATTGTCCTACACCTTTATGTATTGGGACTAGAAAGGCAGTTTGAAAATGTTTTAAGAAGCACTGTTAGAGAGTTCGTTGCTATGGCAATGTGACATCAGATTACCCAGGCAACGTTTCATGATACTGATGTTATACTGTATTGTTTGAATGATGCTTTTTAGCTCACATGGATGAGCTATTGTAATCTCCCACTTGTACTTGTCTGTTTGTCCGTCAGTCTGCCTGTTCATCCATCCGTCTGTCTGTCAACGATTGGTAGCTTATTCGAAATACTCCATGAAAATTGAAATGGTTTCACTTTTATAAAATGTGTCATCTTTTGGTCAATACTCCAGAAGTTATCCATCAATTTGCTTGAAAGTTCACAGGCATGTGTACCTACATCCTTGCAGCAAGGGTTATATGTAGGTTGTCAGTAATGTCTGCATAGGTTTTGGCAAAATATGTCACATAGAATCAAAATGGCCACTATTTTTATTGCACAAAAATCAAAGTATTTTATTAATTTGCTTGTATATTCAGCTAAGGGTATAGGTTAACAATAGTATCCGGAAGCTTTAACAGAACAGCCATGAACACTGGCCACCACATCTTTCATGTTGCTTGTATCACTACATGAAAATCTATGATGTAAATTTTGAACATGATGAGTGCAGTATTAATGAACAAGCGGCAGTCCTGTTACTTTTGGGACACCTTGCAGACTTGATTTGTTAAGTCAGAACCTAAAACAAATTATATATAAGGTATTGGTGAAAATGTGTCGTATACAATTAAGATCTTAAACCAATATTGTGATAAATAATGTGATCTCATTCATTCTCACCTCTTAGAGTTACCTATTTTGACAAAGTCCAGGATCTGGCACAATTTAGACAAATAAAACTTGCATATTGGTCTGTATTTACATCTAATAGATTTCGGGTTAGGCCTAAGTGTACATGGGTTGTGATAAGGTAAAAACATTGTAAAGAAGTTCCAATGGGAATTTCATACGATCCACCAAAGAGTGGTCTGAAAGACAAAGAGCATTGTATGTTTTTATATTTATAAACTTATACTACATGTACTGTAGAGTGATCTCGTGGTGTTATTGGTTTACAGTATACAAATAGTGACTGCCATTGAGGGCAACATATTTGGGCTTAGGGAACTTTATTCACGTTGCTTATATTGTATCGTTCACGCACGTCTGTCATGGTGAACGGAGTTGATTTGTGTTTGTGCTCATCCTCCATTCTGTTTTTCGTCTGCGCAGTGATGATGCGCAGACGTTTCCAAGGGTAATAGAAGTTGCAATCGTGACGTCAGCAGGCAATAGTTCAAATGTATATTCCCGCTGACGTCACATTTGAGGGAATATAACTTTCCGAGGGAAATAGTAAATCTATTTCGGAACACGTGACTAGGTATTGACCAATCAGGATTAGTGTTACATATTGGGTATATAATAATAGTGAAGGTATATTCTAAATTTTCAAAGTTTAGTGACCTTTACGTTTTCTCTCTTTATAGTGTCTACATTGTATTCCTATTACCCCAAAGCCTATGGGCTAGTAGGTATGATTACCATCTTCTGTCTAGGAGACACAATTTCAGTTTTGATGCTGAAAATTAGCTGTCATACCATCGGAAATGCATGGTAACTTGCAAACTTAAAACTGTATTATGTCATATTTAAATGAATCATGCAAATTACACTACATGTATATATGGTTGATAATGATAATGCACAAAATATCAAAAGCTCAAATTCAAATGATTCTCAAGCTAACTCAACAATCTGAGTGGATTAACAAACTAAAAAGATGTACATGTATTTTATATTTTAATCTATTTTTAAACTGTATAACAATTTTAGATAAATCATACAAGTGTTTTGGGTACTTCTCTCAGAGTCTCCCTTATTTTGATGTTTCAAGTACATGTATTATAAAAAGAATTACAAGCAGAACATATTCCAGAAATTATACTGGTACACAGTAGTATGGATTTCCATTTTATAGCAATCTGCAAGCAAGTTAGTGTGAAGGTGCAGTTATGAAGTTTTTATATTTGATTTCACAAGACCAGTTAAACCTACATGTACACATGACATTTCCCATGAACACTTTCCTAGTCCTACAGGTACACATATACAGGGAGATGCATGGAGACTATATGTAGTATACTGCACTACTTATACTTGTGTATGAAAAAATAAATTGTAAATTACATAAAAACTAGAAAGACTTGTTTCCTGTTGTATCTAGAGTCAGCATATCCAGACAGTAGTCACATTACTTAATGGAGTCGAGGTATGCAGGCAGTAGTTACATTTAACATACTCTATAATCAACACGGTATCTGGTCAACTCAGACACTAGTTAACTCGGACCCTAGTCAACTCGTACCCTAGTTAACTCGGACCCTAGTCAACTCGGACCCTAGTTAATTTGGACCCAGTTATATTTAATATAAATCAGAGGTATTTTGCTATGTTAGAAGTGAAAGCAATTAACTCTCAAAATATTAAGAATATTGGAATATTTTAAGATATAATTCAATTCATTACTGAAATCTTTAAATAATGATGTTTATGTATATTTCTGATGAGTCAAAATCAGTCTTTACAACCTTTATACTTTCATGCTACTGTATTTGCGTCATGTTGAATCAAATAACTCTTTATAATTAGATAAGAATGATTTAGAATGATTTTGATTCATTTTATATTGACTTTATATAGAATTGGAACTATACTATGTCTTAAAGAAATGAATTCAATTTAGCTTGTTGTGTATAATGCTGTTATAATAACGTTGACTAAGAAACCCAATTAACAAATCTTGTATCCTCTGATAAGTATTTAATTAGGGTGTTGAAGTGAACAAAATATAGAGGTATTACATCAATTCCAATATACAGTATAGGGAAATGTGTTAGCGCATATAGCGCATTTGTGTTTTAAACAATTTTATTTCCAATTTAATTTTCTAAACATGTGTGTAAAATTACTTTCTGTTTGTCGAAAATACATGATTATTTCATTACACATTTTTATTTCATATTTCAAAGCTTCAAATGTGGAAATACAAAGATTAAATAATTTGGTGACTTTAGTAAAATATTCAATGAGTAGGGAATTTGAAATATATTTTGATTTAATAAATCAAAGAATTGCAAATACAAGTTACAAAATTATCAAATATGGTGTTATCATTTGATTTGAAACTTTAATCTTTTACTTTCATTATAAGAAATTCCTTAAAAATCGTGGGCTTTAAATTTATTTAACATGTTTACCCCTTTTAACTTGGTTTGAAGAATTGAGGTCAACAACATTTAATTCACGTTGAATTTCTAATTTATTGTTACATACTATTTGTTTGGAAGACAAATTAACTGGTTTCATGTTAAATCAAACTCTTGGTTATTTAATATTTATTCCTACCAGTACATGTATATGATTTCACAATCAGGCTGAATGGTTTATGATTGACTCAAAAGTGTCAGAATTATTTTTCACCATTATCAACCATTGTTCTATCTAACAATTATATATGATTAATGTTGTTTTTATATATACCTTATCATTTTAATGCTCAACTAAGGAAAAATATAAAAATTACATAGGTCCGAGTTGACTAGGGTCCGAGTTAACTAGGTCCGAGTTAACTAGGGTCCGAGTTAACTAGGGTCCGAGTTGACTAGGAACCATCAACACATACCGGGTGTTTCAAAATGACCGTCCAGACGTGCTGTTCCACAAACAAGACCCTTAACATGGTTCATTACAGCACGATGATGGTAAACGTATAAAACTGGATCTACACATAAACCATAACATACCCGTGACGTGTTTGTCGACCAAGTGACCGTGAGTCCTAATAAGCTGAATATGTAAAGTATTAGATCAAACGGTAAAGCAGATCAAACACGTTGACTTCAATTTTGATAAACAAATCAATCTAATCTGTGTTAGCGATTCATGGAGCAAGCCAGTTGCATTGGCTGCATAACATACTCTCCCACCAGTATTTGTACAGAGTGTTTCATATTGTCCAATCAATTTGAGATATAACAATATAATATTATATAATATATATTTGTACTGTATATCATATAGGAACCTAGTCACGGTGTTATAGCATCACGGTTACGACACCTCTGAAAACGAGATTAGACGACTACGATCACTGATTTATCCAATAAAATGGCCGCGATGGAACAGAAAACTAAGGTTGGTGCAGTATTTTCTTCTACTGTGTATCAATGAAAGTATGAACGATTTTTGTAGACATCGCATTCGGTGATGCATTTAGTAATGTATATTTTGAACGTATTCTTTGCAAATTAATGCCCGGGGATAACATGAAACAAGCGAAAAACTGTTGAGTTTGAAATTCAAAACTGCACAAAATTTAGTAATTTGTTTATTTTTGTCGTTAGGGCATGGTCTACATTGCCTAACGACCTCGGGGTATATAGATGTAACCTGCATACGATCATAAAAAGCCAATTGAGCATTGGAAACCACCTAATATGTTTTACTTAAGCCATAATATTGTATTCTTAATTTGCGGTTACGCCAAAAATTGATTGACGGTTACGCGAACCTCGTTCAAATTTTGTCATATTCATCAGTACTTGATGCTAATTTTTCTTTTGCCTCTTCATTGCTATCTTTTTGACTTAAATTGGTTTCATTAATAAAGCAAGACACGATTTTTTTCTCGCCCTATAGAGGCTCAAACAAGAGCGTTTCTTGCGAGTCCTGAAAACAAATATAAGCAATTCAATATTCCATTTCTTACCCATTATAACATTTACATGGAAAGAGGCTATCAGAACAAGCAATCTTAACTTGAACGTAACCGTCCGCTAATATCCAATGTACATCTAATACAATACGTTACCGTCCATAGAATTCATACGTAGTCGTCTAGCGACATTGCGTTTGAAACCTTATTATTTACAATATGACCACGTTCCTGTTCTGGATTTGTCATTTGATGGCTTGTTTATACACAGTTTACTTACTGTTAAATAGTTTGAGTGGCTCTGAGGCACATATACTGAGAAATCACGAGAATGGACTAAAAATATGAACTTGGACATCTCAGTCGGTAAGTTTACAGCTTATATTCCGCTTCAAGTAAACCACCTGGCAGATTTGACCCAGTCCTTATAACCATCCATATATACGTCACCGAATGGAACTAGTTAAAAGAAAATCTTATCTGTGAATCTTGTCTACAGGCGAGAAAGAGGACATGCTGTCTTTCCCATCCGCCATTTTTTGTTATCGCTATCGCAAAATCTTGCAAATCGCCTTGACGTAACCGTCATGCTATAACAGCGTGCTAGTGCTTTATTTTAGACCGATATCTGACACATAGGACAAAAGTACTTTCCTCGTTTCTTCGAGAAATGTTCCTCCCAAGTGGGATTTTCATCATTTAAAAGTTGGAGTTACAGTATAAGTTCGCCTGAAAACGTATACCGACACCTCTCTATTCTGTCCAAAACTCCTTGAAGTATGAACACCTGCCAATAATCACCTTTTCTGGTCTAAGTGGCATTGGGATTAAATTGGTATTGATAGCAAGGCACCTACGTCAATCATCTTCCAAATTTTTGAATATCCCTTTTTCGGCAATGCTGGGTTCATAATGGCCTAGTCACATAGCCCGGCCGATGAGGTTCCGATGAGCCAGCGATGCAATTTTCACCGAACTCGGCCGAACACC